AAGAATCTGAAAAAAATATAAATGTACATGCAGCCCAAATCTGCAAATGGCCATGTCATGGTTCATTCCCTGCTGCTCAATTTTTCTGAATTACCAGGGAAATGACAATCAGATATGAAGTATTCATCCTGCTGCAAAGTACCATGGGTTCAAAATAGCTTCCTCTTCTGGAATGAATCAGAATAACTGGTTTGCATAACTGGCAGTATTTACCAAATATATGACCCTATTTTGGTCATTGAAATGTAATAACAATTACATATAGAAGATTGTCTATCTATGTAAAGTAATTTTTCCATGTTTTTTAAGAGCTAGATGATTTCTTTTAAATATCTTTACAAATTAATTTTACAGTATGCATTGAATAAATGTTCAAAAAATGATTCTTCCCTCCAGCTCCTCCTCAGATCATTCATTAGAATGCCCTTTCATTTCCCTGGGAGCTGGGGCAGGGAGGCAGAGGTGGGCTGGTGGGCTTTAATGGACAGCATCACAGGATGACTGAGGTAAGCACTTCTGATGATGACTGTGATCTATGCAGTGCTGAATGCACCCAGTTTCCTTGCAGTTACTGTCTGCAGTTCAGGAGCTGCAGCCATTTGCACTTTTTCAGAGTGAGGGGAGCTGGGATTTACTGAAGGGAAAGAATTTGTTCCAGGCCAAAGAGCAAATGTTACTATTGTCTGTGCTGCCCTGTCCCCAGTCTGTCCATTTCCACTCACTAAATCTCTGCCTGTCCCCTGCTGCAGGAAGCAATCAGTCCCACAGCTGGAATTTGGCCAGGAGACTGTGGCTAACACTCCCACCCCATTTTTTATGTAAACTTGATTTATGACTTTGATCTTATTTTAAATAATTCAAAAATTAAATAATTTATACATTATCTGTCACTTTCCAAGGCTCCTTCCTTTGTTCTTGGTGTTCTCTCTGCATTTTCCCATCTCCCCGACCCTTTCTGGTCTCTGCATGTTTCCTTTTGTTCGTGGTAGGTCAACACACAGCGGCTAAGTACTTGCTACTTCCTTCACAGAAAGAAGAGTTGGAGGAACTTTTGCCAGTGGTGCATATTTGGGCTTGGACTATACTACTACAGTTCATAGTCTGGTTTTACTTTAACTGCTCGTGATTTCAGGCTTGGCCACCCTATGGGGTCTAAGAAGATGCTTTGTGCCAGATGGAGTATGTGCCTCATCTGGCAGCAGAGCAAAGCTGGTGCTAGTCAGCATCAGCCTCTTCCACAGGCTGAGCTCAGACCTGTACCTCAAGCTGGCCTCAGTGAGACTACAGAAACAGTTACCTACATCCAGCTGATGTGGATCCACGGTAACATGACATAAAAAGGGCTGGTGCCCTAAACAAGAGTAAGCTAAAATAATTAATTGCCTCATAAAAAAAAAGAGAAGCTAAATGAATATGGGAAGATATTGCTGAGGGATAAAAAACAACCCAAACAAACTGAAACAAATTAGTAAAGGGGCTCTGGGAGCTTTGGGTAGCCATGAAAGCTGACTTGCTCTGAGCTGCATACAGAAGAGGTGAGGTGGGTCTGATGTGACTTTCTGCATTACTGAAACAGCTCTTTTTTGCAGGTGGCACATGATGGGGAGACAAAACGTACACATAGAGAAGAAGAGGAGAATCCCCTTTGCTTCCTGGTTTTGTTGCCTCTGAAGCTGAGGCCATATGGCTGCTGAATGTGAGGACTAGTGGTGTGGCCGATACAAGGCTGTCACTGCTATCAAGGTTAAGGTTGCTTAAGCTGAGGCTTGGCAAAGAGCAGCAGTGGGGAGTGAACCATGACATGGCCATTTGCTGAGCTGCGAAAGAAGGAACTTAAAGAGGAGCTTGGGCCCAGAGCAGTCTTGGTAGCACACTAACAACTGTCAGTCAAATACTAATGGACTGAGACCCCTGCCACTTCTCCCCAGTGATGCTGCTTAATTTGTAAATCCAGAGTTGCCTGGTAATATCTCAAACAACTGCACCATGAGGGTTTCTGTTGCACTGGTCACACTGACACATGGAAACTTTTTTGTATGAGCTAATTCAGCCCCAGTGATGTGATGGGCAGACGATGCCCCTTGGGGGCAATGCAATTTCCTCCATGGAAATGGCCATTAGAAACTGCTTGTTAACCAGCAGTAGGACTGCTTGGAAGCTCTTTTATGGTGATGTCAGTCACTGCTAGATTGCAGTGGGATATCTGGGAGGACACGGCAAGAGTACAGTTCAAATAGCCTATGTCTCATGGTAGTCCTGGCCGCATTACAAAACAGTGAGGCAGTTCTTAAACTTGCACTGTCATCAGGTCTACGTGTGAAAACCTATGGAGGAATGGCATGAGAGAGAGCCATGCCCCCGAGGGAGACTGGAAAATAAACAAATCTGGTCATCATCTTCAATTGTAGACGGGGACATAAGTCCAGGAAGTCAAATGACTCACCCAAAGTCACATGAGTTGCTGGTGACAGTGGCATCAGGCTGTCACCACTGTCTTGCACTTGTGTTTTCACAGTTTCAGTTTTCCTTTTCTTGACTTGCTTTTGCTCTTAAACTTCAGTTTGGGCTGAATAAAACTGCCCTCCTCCTTTCCCCCTCCCCCAGTCACTCTCTCACTATCGATCTCTCCATCTCCTGCTGGCATTTACAAGGTGCCAATCACCCTGATATCTAAGAGCCAGCAGTCCAAGGTGGATTAATCAGGACCGAGGGAACATCACACAGCCTCAGCTCTCCCTTCCTTTCCTTTTGTGTGAGACTCTGAGATGAAGCAGATAGGGAGAGACATAGATAGGGACGCTGATTGAGAGACAGCATCTGAGGACGCTCTGGGTGTACAGGCACCACAAAGAAATGTGATCCCATCATTTAGAAAGCTCTGAAGTCCCCAGGGTAATTGGTATCACCAGCTTGTCATATCCTATGGTCCAAGATCTAAAATTTATTCTTTCCCCCTTATTTGCATACTTACCAGCAGGAGGAAAAAAAAAAAAAGAAAGAAAGAAAGAAAGAAAAAGAAAAGAATATGGGTCCAATACTGTTTTCACAGAACTCAATAGAAAAAATATTCATTCGTTTCAAGGGAAGCAGGAGCCGACCCAGGAATTGTTCTCAGTCTTTCTTCAGAGACAAAACCTCACTCAAGTACCTATCCTCAAAATGGTATTGTCTAGTGAGAAATAGATGGAAGAACTTTTGTGGTATAAAGGTGCAGACCTCATCCTCTTTTGTATCTCTATAACTCTGGGCTGACTCTTTTATAATGGCAATTATAAGAATTACTCTAGATTAAAAATGAATGTAGCTAAGAAGAGCGCAGTTAAGAAGAGATGTCCAGAGTATGAGGACAGCAGTGTCCTTATTACCTTTCCAGCTGCCTGATCAATGCCTATAGTGTAATTCTGCAGTCACATCTTCTGCCTGACAGCCTCTGCAGATGTGCGTCCTCAGCTGCCCGTCGGTTCCCCTCCTGTTTATTCCCTTAATACATGGGGGAACAAATGCTGCACCCACCTGGCAGGCTGCTGGCCACTGGCCAGGGCTCATGTGGGATTTACTGTCTTTTTCCCATCCTGCAGCCTTAACCAAATAGGAAGACAGTTAAACACAGCTGGGCTAGGGAGGGGGCAGCTCTTCAGTCTGTGAGGAGGAGAGCAGGGGACCAAGGAAGAGGCAGCTGAGGCCTCCATTGTCTTTGAGAATAACAAAAAGAACAGTGAAAAATAGAAGGAAAAAAATGAAATTGCTTAATGAGAGAATAAAAAAAGTCCTAACCTGTCCCCCCAGGAGAAGGGGAGCATCTGTGAAGCTCCTACAGTATGTCCTCACGACTGTGCATGAGGGCAGAGCTGCGCTGTACCAAGTGCTCAGCAAAGCACGTGGCACTCAGGAAATAGTGGATATTTGTCTCTGGATTTAAAAAAAAAAAGAACATGTGGATGGGATGGGAAGTCTGTGATGCCAGTGTATGAGAATTAAATACAGACAACACAGCATGGCATTGTGATCAATGCAGTAGAAGAACTACAGGTATGTTGGGGAAATTCTGGAGTTGGACCTGTATTACCTAAGGCAAGTCTCACTGAATAAGGAAGATATTATTTTACAAAATAGGTTTCTTGCTCACATATCCAGAATGGAGCACAAGAGGGTCATATTTTATCACCAGATGGATGAAACATCTAAGTATACTTTTGCTGCCTGCAAATGTTTAATCTGTGCCAGAAAAGGTATCCAAAGTCACCTGATAGTATTGTATCTGCCTGCTGCAGGGATCACTCTACTTTCCTCTAAAGTACCTGACAAAGGGACCAAGTTACCAAGTTGCTTGTCTTGTGGGTCTTTATTAATTATAGCCTAAGTAAAGCCATTTATGCTAAAGGCATCAAATCCATGGTTGTGCCAGGAACCCATCTCCTTGTTCAGTCATGGGTTCTCCCAGAGGTCAGGAGACATGTTAGGAATGGATACCTGATATAACAATACTGTTTTGAATAGCTGAAGTGTTTTCCCAGTGTGCTTAAACCATATTGTTATGAGGAATCAGCGCTGTATGCATGCTTTTATCTGTTTATCCATTTCTGTATTATATAGCAGCCTCCTTGAACCTAAAAGCACTTCTGTCAAGAGCTGCCATGTTATCCTGTGATCACGCCAAAGTTACCCTCAAGTAACTTTGAGTTCAACTCTATCTGTGTGGATGGTATCAAGGGAGAGCTATTTATGCCCTTTAAAACCTTCTCTGGGGCTGGATGGTACTGACTTGGATCAGAGAACTCACATGAGCTGAATTCAGGGCCTATTTTATCCAAATATTCAAAGGCTAGTGGTGTTTGGATTTGACAGCAGTGGCTTAGATCCCACAAGAAGTGTCAGGCATGGGCCTGGTTACTGGTTCCACTTCCGCTCATCAGTTTTCTCTCTGCTCACTTGTGTCTTTGTGCAATCTAGGTGCTTTCCCTGTTTCTGTAAACATGCGTGGAGCCAATGTCTATACTTACTGCCTGTGCATAGGCGCCATATGCTCCAAACTGGATGGCCATGGGGTTGAACATGCCCATTTGTCCTGCCATTTGCTGCATGCGCCTCATTGTACGCTCCTTGTCTGTATCTGCAAACTTCACCACCAGGCTTGAAGAGGCTCCCTGCAGGACAGAAAACAAAAGAGATATAGAAAAGACTTAGCCAGGAGATATACACTGGCTCATGCAATCCATATGTCACACACAGATTTGGTAGTGTAGGATCCTGCTGACACTGACATTTTTCCCATATAACCTCTCTGGCATTCTGGATCGGAGCTTTTGCAAGAGGCTGAGAGTATAGGAAGGGAAGGACTCTGGAGGGAAAACAGCTGAGTCGAGCTGTTCCTACTGTCCTCCAAAGTTCACACTTCCAGGCTGTTATAAATGTTCTCTCTGCAAAAGCTGTTGCCTTATTTTTTCAACCTTTAGAAAATCTTCTGGTCTGTTAGTTCTCATCAGAGGATGAGGATATGGACTCAGTGCAGGAAAATGTAGAAGCCTTTGATGGATGTACATCGTGGGATTTTGAACTGACTTACTTTGATGGACTTTGTTTGCTCTGTGCATTCTGGACCCATGAGTCAGATCATCTTTCCACACTGTGCTGTGTTGCAACCTCCATGTTCAGTGAGAAAGCCCTGTTCTTAGAGGCAAGAATCAGTTTGCTGGATAGGGCATAAGTTGCATCAACAAGCAGTGTCTATTCAGCACTGTTAAATCCAGGCCAGTTCACAATATTTGGGTTCTGTCTTCAGGCAACACTAGTACAGAGCTACTGATGATCATTGGAGCTGGCTGCAGGAGTCTGTGAAAAATGTAGAGCTTTTGGGAATGAACAAAATCCCTCACCTTCTCAAAATGAGATGAAAGATCAGTAACTGCAATTCTCAAATTTCTGGTAGGAGGTAGAGATAGGAAGAAATAGATCTGCCTAGGAAGGCAGGCACTGATATTGTTTTGGCTAGCTTCAAGGACTTCCTCACTTCATGGGTTGCTTGATTCCCTTCACTGTGGTCCCCCTGGGGGAAGACAGATGTGGGGAAGGGGGATCTGGCAGCAGCCCTGACAGCAGGCAGACAGTTGCCTCAGGAGCTGGGCTGCCACCGGGCCTGGGGAGATGGGCAGGTGAGCTGTCAGAAGACTGACAAAAGAGCAGCTGAAATCATTACGCTCCCATGGAACACTTCCCTTTTGACACGCTGGTGTTCTCTGATGGAAATACAGTCAGCAGGGAGATGGCCAGCTCAGCCTCTGGCTGTGGCAGTGGGGGAACACCAGCTCTGTGCCAGAGGAGCTGGTCTAGAGCATAGTGCCATTTTTTTTTCCAGCGAAGTGGGATTGGATGGGACTGCATAGAGAGAATGTAGTTAACTTTCTTACATACACATCTATGTACCTGCAACCAGATAAAACAGTCTCAGGGAAAGCAGAGCTGGTCTGTATAAAACTGTAAATAGTTTAGTAAACTACAGCTACAGACGTACATATATGTAAGTCCAAGTTTTGCATATTCAGTAGTCTCTCCAGATCCTCAGTTATGAATAACAGTTTGAGGAATTAACTTGTTGAAACAGAAAATAATCTAAGGCCATGCAATGAGCAATGTTTCCCTAGATTAGCAGCCTGCTCTAGGAAGAAGTGATTTTCATTGGCAAAGAATCTTTCTTTTTGAACTGTTACTCTTTCTCTAATAAATCTATAACCCACTTGAACAATGTAGTGAAGAACAAGGGGTTGAAAGAAGTGCTTCAGGAAAACAAAGGTAGGGAGAGATGAATGCTCTATTCAAGGGTGGAGAGCAGTCTTCAAAAGTTATTATGAGAGCAAAACAGAACACAGGGGTGAAGGGAGAAGAAAAAGAAAACTAGCCAAGATTTTCCTGCATTTCTGCTCAAGGCTGGGCAACTTTTCATTTTTTTTTTACATCACATGATGTAGTTATTGATCCTTCCCCAAATCACACTCTTAATTGCAGCTCATCGACAAATGAATATTTTAATGCATACATTTCCTCCTAATTATCACCTGGACTAGTCCTTAATTAGATTTCAACACTCATTTAATTAACCGTGATCCAAGAGACTGTTTGGTAACCTGAATCTAATGATTTAAACCTATTTGTAGCTGTATTGGAGGAAGGCAATGGTCCACAGCAGATTGGGCTGTTCAAAGCTGCTGCTGTACAGCAGAGCTGCAGCATGGTCAGCACAAAGCAACATGGAGGATTTTCAGACTGAGTGAAGGGAATAAGTATTTACCTCTGCAAATGGGTGTTGAAAATGTGACCTTTTCTAGTTAGCAGGATGGACAAATATAAATAAGTTGGTGTGGTTTTTTTCCTTCCTTTTTCTTTCTATCTCTATTTGCTCTGGAAGTCTTATGGTTAGAGACATACCTCAGGAAATTGCTGATCCCTCACATTTTTGAAAACCAAGCTATTATTGTAGATGGCATCATGAAAATATCGATAACCTCCATATGAAGTTCTTGCCCCTGGAGTGTTCTTCGCTCCTGATGTGAATTGTAGTGACTGCACAGCAGCCGTTTGACCCAATAGGATCTAAGACTGCCTCTTATGAGATGTTTTTCTGGGTTGCCTGTCAGAGCAGGGCTTCGGGCCTCTTTGAACACCACTATCATAAACACCGGGCGGAAAGGCCATTGGCAAACAGAAACAAGTTACAGCACATGCTACAAAGAGTAGAAAAGCGAGCTTTTCTGCTGCAATGAGATGCACACATATACAGTTAAAGACATGTAGCCAATAGAGATGCTGCTCTGCTCTGCTCTTGAATATGAAGATTGACTTTGGGATTGATGTTTTCTGTATCTGATTCGTCATGTGCGTTTTCAGATGGCCTGAAGGAAGTCTGGCAGTGAACTCTATCAGGCCATGCAGTGCAGGACTTCTAGCAGAGGAGACACAATGCTTTTCATTTAAAAGAGCTGGAAGACTACTTTCAATTCCAGTGACTCCTCATAATCCACTGGATAACATTAGAAATATCACCGAATGGGCCCAATTTTCAATAGGGTAGAAACTACAGAGCCCTTTGTGTGGACTATTTATTGCTTCCATGGGCAGTTAAACCATTGCATAAATCAGCTGTTGTCCACCAACAAAGGCAGTAGGTCCTGTCTGCCTGGTCATTTATCAGTAATACATAAGCTTCTCTCTTACACTCCAGTTGTTGTATTGGACACTACATTTCCACAACCCCCATGAGAGTTACAGTAGGTAAGTCAACGTTGCTTGAATTATACTTTGAGAGTTGTGTTAATCTGCATTTTACTGAGGAAAAGACCTGTTTATTTCTCTGCCTTGCAGAACCACAGTCAAAGGAGCCTATTATGAAAGTGAGCATTCCTGCTGGTACCTCTGCAATAGCCTACTTGGATTTGTCATTTATCTCCCTTCCCATCAAATCAACCTCCTTTTTCAAGTGCTTTGATATCTACTGATGAAAAGAATAATATAAGGGCTAAGTATTATTATGCTTTCCCAATTTTCTCCTGGGCTAGCAACTCTACTTAATATGACTATCTTACTTCTTGTCCCCCTCCCGCGTGCAGTAATGAATTGCTCCCCTTAGTCAGCAGTCAGATGTTCTCTAGGCTGGCAGGGTGAGGAAAAAGATGGAGGAAAAATCACCCGGCACCACACTCACTTTGTAATCCCTAATCAGAGTCCTCTGTGGGAAAAACTAATTTCCCAGCCTGTCTTGACTTGTGAAATAAAGTCATTCTTGAAAATGGGAACTTGACAGGGCACTTGTGAAATTTCATATTCAACTAAAAATAAAATATCCATCCATTGATATTTCATTTAAAGGCAAAGGAAAAACAAATCTTTTCCCTGGTTGTTGGGACTGGTTCCCATTAGTTATGGCTCTCCAAATGGAGAGTGTACACAAACTAACTACAATGTTTTCAGCAGACCAAATAATGCTGCACAGCATGAGGGAAAGCTGCTTTCCCTAGAACAATATTCACAGGAAAAGTTTTGTGAAAATGTCCCCTTGCAGAATGTATGCCTGATTTTTCTTTACTTGTCCACCTATACGTCTTCTCTGACTCAGGTTACCTATCTCTAGAAATGGTTAGATATCTTTTATTTGCAAAATTGATGAATTTGGACCCAATTCACCAAAGCCATTTGGATCATGTTTCACTTTAAGCTTAATTAATGGCTCATTGGAGGCACATACTAAGGAGGTTCCATATAAGCACTTTACTGCAGGAATGTCCGTCTCATGGAAATGGACTTTTATCTCATGGTTGGCTCAAATTATGCCATTTAAAGGTTTTGGGCCAAAAATATTTGAAAATGGCTTGTTACATTATAATTCTAGTGAATAAAACTCTTGAGTATAAGAGATCTGATTGTGCAGATACCATTAACTACCGTCCAAAACATCAGCCATGTATACCAGGTAAAATACTTAAATTAATAAGTACTACTGAATACTTCCCAACTGGGCAATCAAACTATCATTGCAAGTTTTACCATGTGAATGGGATTTCTGTGTTGGACATATTGCCTTAGCATTCATTCTCTTTGTGACTGCAAAGCAGAGTTCAGAGGATGTTGATCCTTATCAAGCCATTCAAGGTGGTATTTCCACATGAGGTTAGGTTAGGCCTTGAAAGTCAAGGAAAGATTTCTTTGTTTTGGGCTCTGTGTGATCAGGACATTTAGTATGATGATTCCTAAGTTTGAAAACACAATTAGATTTTTGGGGGAGGGAAGTCTGTATAGCTTTACTGAAATAAAATAGCTGTTGAATTAGCCAGTAGCGTCTTGACCCCAACTGGGATTTTAGACAAGTGAGAAAGAAACTACTGTCCAATTAAAACTGTAGAGCAAAGGGAATTTGAGCTAGGTAGAGATGTAATTACCCATTCTGGAAGATGGCCAGAAGACCAAGACTAACATCCCTTCCCACTTGTGAAATATGCTATCTTTTTCTGTACTCAGGGCTTCAATTTTGTGTCTCATCTGAAAGATGAGTAGGACAGCAGTCACTAGGAGCGATTTCCATTGTATGGTCCTGAGAGCTGGTTTAGACACACTTGAGACAAGAGTGACAAAGACGAAGTAGTGAAAGGAGGCATTAATC